TATTAGTCATAAAACTTAATTTTTTTCTTTTTATTCAACAAAATTGTTAAATCAAAGCTATTAACTAAATTTTTTCTATGATAAAATAACTATTTTGTTATGTGACATACTCAGATAAAAATAAGATAGTCAAGTCATTCAATCTTGTATGTAACAATGTTATTTTACTTTAATTATTTAACAATTAAAAATTGTAGTTACTTAACTATTAGAAGCCCATAATTTTTAGCATGTAGACTCATATTTTGTTTATTTTTATTACAAATTTTTCAACATTTAAATATACGTTTCTATAATTTTATTATTTGAATTTAACTAAACGAAATAGATAAATATTTGCCCTTCAATTTTACTCATAAAAAAATGCCCTAAGCAAAAGCTTCAATCTTTTGCATTATGGCACGGCTCTGGTTTTCATAATACAATTCTATGTTTTATGGTGGAGTTTTATGTTTTTTGTCATAGAATTCTGTTTTGTGATGAAATTCTAATTTTCGGTGATAGAATTCTATGTTTTGTGATGGAATTCTATGTTTTTGTAATAGTGTTTTGTGTTTTTGTGATAGAATATGTTTTTGGGATAGAATTCTATCTCTTGGTAATATAATTCTATGTTTTTGTTATAGAATTCTATGTCTTGTGATAGAATTCTATCTTATGGTGATAAATTTATATACAATATAATTCTATGATTTTGTGATGGAATGTTTTTGTTATAGAATTCTACGTTATGCGATGGAATTCTATGTTTTTATGATAGAATTCTATCTTTTGGTGATAAAATTATATGTTTTTTTATAGAATTCTATATTTCTATTTTTTTTTTATAGAATTTTATGTTGTTGTGATATAATTTTATCTTTTGATGATAAAATTCTATGTTTTGTGATAGACTTCTATGTTTTTATGATAGAATTCTCTATATATCTATGATAGAATTCTATGTTTTTTTGTGTTGGAGTTTTATGTTTTTGTTATAAATTTTTATGTTTTGTGATGGAATTCTATTTTTTTGTGATGGAGTTTTATGATATAATTTTGTCTTTTGGTGATAAAATTCTATGTTTTATGATAGATTTCTATGTTTTATGATAGAATTCTATATATCTATGATATATTTTATGTTTTTTTGTGATGGAATTTTATGTTTTTGTTATAGATTTTATGATTTGTGATGGAATTCTATTTTTTGTAATAGAATTTTATGTTTTTGTGATATAAGTTTATCTTTTGATGATAAAATTCTATGTTTTGTGATTGACTTATATGTTTTTATGATAGAATTCTATATATCTATTATAGAATTCTATATTTTTTGCGATGGAGTTTTATGTTTTTGTTATATATTTTTATGTTTTGTTATAGATTTCTATGTTTTGTGATATAATTTTATGTTTTTGTGATATAATTTTATCTTTTGATGGTAAAATTCTATGTTTTGGGAGATTTCTATGTTTTTATGATAGAACTCTATATTTCTATGATATAATTCTGTGTTTTTTTTTTGCTAATATAGTTCTATGTTTTTATGATGGTTTTTGCGATGGTGTTTTATGTTTTTGTTATAGAATTATATGTTGTTTTTAGGATTCAATTCTCTGTTTTTTCTTTATTTGACAAGAATCTAACCAGTATTACTCATGTCCATAAAATGATAAAAATCATTACGAGGAATGGACTTAAGGAATATACAATTAAATTTTCTAAAGATATTTTTAGAAACAAGTGGAAGAAAAAAATTACAACAAAGAACATTTGTTTTTCCTATTTTTACATATAATCCGAGAATAATTCCAATATTCCTATATCTTTACTAAAAAGGAGTATTCTAAGCCGTAAATCTATCTCCCCAGCGAATCATATTCCGCCACTTGTCGTTGCGGTGCTGTTTACAACCCAAGAAAGGTCAAAACTCGCCGGAGCTGAGTTACCGGAAAAGCTATCTCCGGCGGCGAATTCCTCCAATCCCTCAAAGAAATCATCACTCACCACCGTATCCGACATAGACAACAGATCCTCGTCTCCGTCGAGATCTCCTCCCACCGCTAGATCCTCCATGGGAAAGACAAATTCGTCGGCTGAAGTCACCGGAGAAGATGAAGAAGTCGCGGTCGTCGGAGATTTAATCTTCGGCTGATCAGATGGTTTCTGACGAGTGCTTCCGGCGAGAGAATTACGGTGAGTTGGAGCTGGGTGGTTATGCTCCGCCGTGTAAGTGATGATAAACATTGTCGGGTCGGATCTATTTCGCTCCACTTGTTTACGGGCTAAACATCCTTTTGAAGTACTACATCTGTAATATCCTCTGTTTTTTTAATACAAAAACAAGAAGAAATTAGATTTTTGTTTTACCGAATTTAGAAACTGAGATAATTTAACAAACTAGAAGCAAAGAGAATCACAAAAACAGACAAGTTTTGTCTTGAAATAATACACACACATTTAAATGTCTTTAATGAACAATAAATGAATTTTTTTGTTAAAGATTTTATCTTTTTCTTGATTAATAGTACTACCTTGGATATGGTGAACCTTTGATGGGTTTTTGTCCGTACTTTCGCCATGCCCAGACATCAGAGTTTAAAGCTTCTGCTGCTACATGGCACACTTTCTTATGCTGTATCTTTCTGAATCAATAAACAGAAAAACAGAGACTTTTTTCAGACAAAATTCGAAATTAAATCTTATGGGTTCATCGAAAAACGCAAACTTTTCCCCAAATTTCTTGATGGGTTCGACAAAAGGTGAAAGGTCGAACCTTCTTTTAGATCTAGAGATACTGGAGCCTGTGGGTTTGCTTGTGACGCTACTGGAAGAAGCAGAGAGAGAAAGAGGACGTTTCTGGTTCTGTCTCTGTCTTGGTTCTTCTGGGTAATTCAGACAAGAGAAAGAAGAGACGACGGAGGTATTTGAGTCTTGTCCGAACGGCGTGTAGAGATCTCGGATCTCTCCGAAGACGACGGTATTTCTCTGTTTTTCGACGGTGAATAAAGGGCTTGTGTGAGATGAAGCACCGCCGGAGAAGACGGTGGTTGCGGTGGTTGCTGATGAGCTCACGGCTGAGCAGCCTCTTACTACGGCGTGGAGATCCCAATCGTCGGCCATTGAATTGGTATCTCAGAGGAGACAAAAAGCTTTGAGAATCTCT